CGAAAATAAATTTAAATTTCAAACGATTTGCAAAAAATAATTTACAGTACACAATGTGTTCCAATGTTGCAAAAAATAATTTATAGTACACAATGTGTTCCAAACAATATTTGTAAAAACATTTTGATAAGTCCAATCTTTTACAAAATCGAGTTTGTGAAATAAAAGTTGCGAGTTTGCAATTAATTTAGGTAAATTTACATATTTCTAAATAAAAAAAATGTCGTATTTAATTATTCATAAAAATATCATATTTCAATCAATTTTTCCTAATAAATTTAGATAATCTTCTATTTCCATTCCTAATAAATATAAATAATCTTTTAAATAAATACAAATACTCAGATATATAATTTAAATAAATAAATATGAATTCTTTATCCCAATTTCCACCAATCGCTGTTTTATATCACTATATTCTTTCATCGATGAAGAAATATACCGCCACGTTCAAATCAATAAATAATTCTCAAAAGCAATAATGTCCACATTTTTTAATTTTAATTTTTATTACTAATAAAACTGCAGTGCAAAACTTGCCTGAATCGGTACGACAGGATATGACACGGAAATGGAGGTCCGGATACCACCCAATCGTGGACTGAAAAAATACATTATATGCGAGGTCCATTCATATGCCTCGTCCGTTTATTTATATATATACCTTATATATATACCATTATTTAATAAGATAAGTATAATTGAAACAACAATGCTTGTATATTAAGAAATATTTATTTATCTTACATTAAAAAATTATTGTGGTTTACCACGACCAAAACCACCACGGAATTCTACATCTCCAGTTCCAGCACCAACATCAGCTTTTTTATCACCAGGCCCTGTTGGACCTCCAGGGCCTCGTCTATATCCAGAACGATCTTCTGTCGGTCTAGACTCACTCCGTGCACCCGTTGCTGGTCTTGGCCGTGTACTTTCCGACCTTGTTTGTCTTTTCAACGTTGATGGTACTATTTCGGGAGGCAGGTGCAGGTATCCCCGTAAATATTCGATACCTTCATTTGTTAAGTACCAATAGAAGTGTCTCCAAGCAAATTGCTCTTTGACATAACCTTTAGATTTTAAAGACTAGAAAAATGAATAAGAAATAGAATATATTTTAATGATATAATAAATTCAATGATACTAAGTAAACAGAAGATTATATGCGTAATTATTACTTGCATTGCCTTAATTACTTGAAGATTTGGAATACATTCCAAATCTGAATGTTTTGAAGCATGATAATCCTTCTTTGCAACCAGGACACCTTCTTTGAAAAGGTATTCATAAATTGCAACTCGATTCTTTTTTGGCATCAACATTCTAAAAGTAATAAAAAAATAATTAAAAATTAATTACTGTTAATTTGTGAGTGATATAACTATTTCAGATTATAAATAAGGAAAGAATAATAAATAATGAA